CAGTAGAGCTGCGGGTACTGCTGTGGGGAGAGAGGTTAGAGAGATAGGGGGGGTGCCAAGGAATGGAGGGATTTAAACACTATAGTGAGGATCTCGAAGTCGATCCACTCTGTGACAGGGAGCCAGTGGAGATTGGCAAGGACTGGAGTAATCGGGGTGCGGAGTTTGGTGGGGTTGAGAATGCGGGCAGTGAAGGTTTGAATGAGCTGAATTTTGTGAATAGTGGAGGAGGGCGTTAGAGAAGTCCACCCGAGAGGTGACAAAGGCATGGATAAGGGTTTCGGCAGCTTTTGGGGTGAGGCATTGTCGGAGGCGGGCAATGTGGTGGAGGTGGAAGAAAGCGGTGCTGGTCAGGGACTGGATGTGGGGGAGGAAGGATAACTGGGGATCGAACCTGACCCCTAAGTTGCGCACACTTTCAGAGAGTATTAAGGACAGATCGGGTAGGGTGAGGAGGTCGGAACCGTAGGACAGAAGATGTCGGAGGGAGCCAGAGAGTTTCGCTTCCTTCTTGTTGAGGTTTAGCTGCAGGATATTTGCGCTCATTCAGCTCCTGATGTCCAACAGACAAGCTGACAGAACACCAGGGGACTGGGAGTTGCAGCTCGAGGTGGAAAAGTAGAGTTGAGTGTCATCCGCATACATGTTGAAGTTAACCCTGTGTCTGCAGGTGACATCACCGAAGGAAGCAGAAAGATGAGGAAGAGAAGGGGGCCAAGGATTCATCATCGGCCCCCTTCTTTTCCTCATCTATATGCTCAGACAGATTTTTGACAGATTTAGACAGATTTTTGCAATAAATTTAAATGTATGATTGTCCATTTCAATTTTGAGCATTTTATGCAGCCTCCTTTGATTTTTTACAGCAATTTAGCAACTTTGTCCACCTGTTAAAGTAGACAAACGTATATGTTCATTGCAGAAATTTAATTATTTCATATTAATTTCTTTCAGAGCTGAACATTTACAGGTCAGACAAATTACGAGCATCTGAGTTAAAAAAAACACCTCGAATATATGTAACAAATCTGATCAGTCCTAAGAGCCTCAAACAAACCTTTGACAAGTCAACCAGGATATGTATATATTTTTTAACCTATTAAAAACTACCTGTACATTCCAGACCCACAGCCAATAGTGTACAGCTCTATACAGAGTTTGTATCTGTATAAATAATTTAAATATATTATGATAGTGTTTATCTTTATACCATCATATTTATGGGATGCTGAACTATGCAGATCTGGGATAGTATTCCAAGCGGGTCTAGATTTAATCTATCAATATAGCATATCAGAGCAGCCAGGATATGGAAAATTGTTGAATTCAGTATTCACTTTAAAAACTGCATTGTGTAGTTCTTAAAAGAGTTTATAGAAAAATGGTTTCCAAATTAAAGACAATATTTAAGAATTTCACAAATTCTGAATCTGAACATTAATAGAGTAAATTTAGACCCAGGGGGAATTTCCAATTCTCCTCCAATTCATTAATTGAAAAATACTTTACATTTATAACATTAACTTTTTTGAAAAATAAGTAATATTTATAAAGTAGTGAATATATTTATTAGTTATCAGTTGTTGTCCAATATTCCTAAATATAGGAAGTAAGACCAGAAAGCAAGTATTCCATGGAATGGGATAGAACTATCCAAGTAGGGAGCAGAAAGATATGGGGTGTTAGTTGACTCATCTGAAATGACTGGAACAGGTTCCCAGGAAAGGTATTCCCCCAGGACAATGCAGCATTATTTTCAGATTTTATACATCAATCTTGATTGTAACTGTGTCAGACTAAATGATAAGTGGAGTCCTGTAGCTCAGTGGTTAGAGCACTCGCTTTGCAAGTGAGAGACCTGAGTTCAATTCCAGGCAGAGGGCGAAACCTTGGGCAAGTTTCCTTACTCCACACAGAGCCTAATAATAATCCCTCCAAAAAAAAAAAAAAAAAAACAATAATTAAATTGGTCATTTTCAATCTACGACTGTTTGTGGGACATTGCTGTGCGCAATTGGCTGCCGCGTTCGCCCACAAATATACAGTCAATTCACTTTACAGTGTGTTCTGTGAAGCGCTTTGGGACGTCCTCCCGACGTGAAAAGCGCTATATCAAATGCAAGGATTATTATTATTAAGTGTGTAGGTGAAGGAGCGTGAGCTTGAAAGGCATGTGAAAGTGAGTGTGTGAGAAAGGGCAGGAAGTATAAAAGAAAGATAACAATAATCCTTGCATTTGATATAGCGCTTTTCACGTCTTCTGGACGTCTCAAAGCTCTTCACAGAATATGCTGTAAAGTGAATTGACCATATATTTGTGGGCGAAACACGGCAGCCAATTACACACAGCAGTGTCCCAAATACAGTCGTGGATTATTGTTTTTTGCTTGGAGGGATTATTATTAGGCGTGTGGAGTAAGGAAACTTGTCCAAGGTTTCGCCCTGCCTGGAATTGAACCCAGTTGTCTTGCTTGCAAGGCTTGCAAAGATGTGTCAAAAGAGGAGAGGGATACTGTAGGATGTTACTGGTTCAAATTAGTTGCCACATTTGTCTATGTAACAATCACTTCATTTCACTTTGTTTTTGTAAAGCACTTTGAGATGTTCAATTGTAAATTAAGCACAATATGTAAGTCTATGTTATTGCATTGAACCTTAGGATGAAAGTGCCTAAAATCTACCAGATGAAATTGGATCACAGTCAAGACAAGAATCAGAAGCATCCTCTGTCTGAAAGCTTGAAAACTAGTAAAATGTCTCTTCCCCCAAAAGATTATGTTTAAAACGACAACAAAAAGAACTTGGATTTATATAGTGCCCTTCACACGGGGTATCATCCCGGAGCACTTCACAATGGCGTAGTCTGAGAACATTTGAAAATCTGAAAGCAGAAGAAACGGTGTGAATAAATAATCTGCAGCAGGTTGGGGAAATAGGATTGAATAGTTTGCTTTGTGAAGGTTGCCTGGCGCAGTGGAAGTACTCTTGACGCTTAGTCAGAAGTTTGTGAGTTCAAGTTCCACGTCGGGACTTAGAACCACATCATCTAAGCTGACACTTCAATACAGTGTGAGGAGGATGTTGCATTTGTAGGTTCATGCTGTCAGTGTCTGAGGTGAGATAATGCTGATGGGGCCAAGCAGGAGAGCCTCTGTTTTGTCGACATTCAATTGAACAAAGTTAGAGCTCATCCGGGACTTAATTTCTGACCAGCAATCGTTCAGTAGTGATCCTGGAGTTGAGGACGGAGGCAGAGAGATGGAGATAAAAGGAGACGCTGCACTCAGCTTACCATAAGATTTATATACTTGTACAGTATTTATAAAAGATTACAAAGTATTAAATTGGTCAAATTACACCATTTACAATTGAAAAAACACTGCATTCATTTCACTGCTGATGCTAGAGTGCTCATGTGCCCTCTAGTGGCTTTAATAGAATACAATTCAGTCAGGCTGAACAATATTGGACCTTACATTTTGTAATCTGGCTGAATGACTGTTGTCCAGGCTACAGAACAAACATCCTTCTCTTTTCAAATAGCATCATGAGATCTTTAGCAATAATAATTCCTTCAAAAAAATAATAAATTGGTCACTTCAATCCATGATTGTTATAGATTTCAGAAAGCAACTTTCCCTCAATTATTGAGTCCATTGATGAACTTACAGGTTGGAGAACAGACTCTCCGGGGCTGTCATAAAGTATTCAGACTTGAATAGGCTTTTCACAAGATGCCTTTCAGACTCTTTTTATGTCTAATAATATTTATGCCTGTCATTGGTTAAATCTTGTATCAGATTTATAATCCTGCAGTCTTCTAAATCGATATTTGGCCAATAGCTAATATATTAATAAAATATTAAGCACTACATATTATATTGTTAAATCCAATTAAAGTCTCCACTACTTTGAAAGTTTAGAGTTATTTTAAAATACATCAGTTCTAGTTTATATGAGGCATGGACAGTTTATGTTACCATGGGCATATCTTAATATAAGAATATTCCTAAACCCATGAACACTAACCATTCTTCCATGGTCTATCTATCACTTTCAGTACGGTGATTGATTTTGTGTGTGTCAGATACCCGGATGACCAAAAAAAACTTTCATTATTACATGACATATGGCTTATTCGAGCTCTTACTTTGGCCTCTCTACCACGATAGAGCATTTGCTACTGAGCCTTGCTTTTTGCATAACGCACTAAAAAGACAGTTTCTCCTAAATAAGACTTCTTTCACTTCCACATTCAGAAACCTTCCAAGCAAACTCACAGATACATCAGCATTTTGTGTATGAAAAATAAAATACAAAGTCAAATTGATTCTGCAGAGAGATAATTCTGCCATCATTTGTCCTGGTCAGTCATCCCTTGATAGGTGAGAGAACAACATCTCTGGAGCACTATTTAGTGTACTGTAGTGAATGAAAAAAATGGGCCTGCACATGGCTATATCAGTTTAACTCTCTTACTCCAATGCTTCCAGCACTGACTGTGTACTGACTAGTTTGACAGTTAGTAATATGCCTTTGTACGAAACTGAAGGAATGATGAATTTACATCTGCATTTTCACCTATTTCCACATGGCCCTGTTCAAAAATGAGTATGTTTAACCTTAAGAGTTATGGATAGCTTATTTTACCATCACTCCCTCATTTACAACACACCATCAGATGGGAGAGAGGAACAGCATTATCTGTGGAGTGTGGCAGGACAGGGATGAGCAGCAGAGATGGGAGAGATCAGGAAGTAGTTTTACAAAATATTCCCACAGATAATTAGCTGGAGATGGAGTTGACAAAAGAATAGATTAGACAAGCTTTGTGAATATAAAACAACAACAAATTACACTCGTATAGCGCCTTTCAAGTCGGAAAGACGTTGCAGGGCACTGGACAGTCAGGACTTTTTTGACCGCTGTGTAACTATACAATATACTAGTTACAGCATATTCAGTATATTCAGTTCCGGGTTAATGTTTCGGTTCCTGTTCTTCTTTCGTGTGAGTGGTTATGGTCGCTTTGCGCAGTTAAAGCTGGAGGTATAATTTCCATAGCTGGAAGATGCAATGCAGTTTGTGGGCAGAGACTCTGATGGTGTTGGGCAGTCTGATCCTCGGAGCTGTTTCAGGTAAGAGGACACTGCGCTCTGGTCAGTGAGCTGTGGCTGTGGCTGTGGCGATGTTGGGGACAGAGAGCAGCACATTATATACACAGCCTCTCACTCTGCTGCTAACATTGTATTCACTCCAACATCCTCCCAAACCAGGATAGTTTAGATTTTACATGGAAATAAACTGAGCCCCACAGCGTGGGCAAAGTGGGTGAAATGGCAGGAGTGAGAGTTCAAAACAGAGCAGATTCACTGTAACATATCAACCCTGACAGATTCATTATAATCCAAATAGATTAAGTGAATTAATGTCTTTAAATCAATGTGCTTCAGCTTTTTCCTCTTAGTCAGAAGGTTGTGGGTTCAAGTCCCACGTTGATGGAATGGTAAATGGAAAATGGAATTAGGTTAGAAGATCAGCCATGATCTTATTAAATGGTGGGGAAGGTGCGAGGGGCCGAATGGCCTACTCCTGCTCCTACGTCTTATGCTGAGGTATTGTTGCATTGTTAGTGACGCCGCCCTTTGGATAAGATGTTAAACCAAGATCCTATCTGCCTATTGATGTCGACGTTAAAGATCCCTTTGGCACTAATTGAACAGAGAAGGAAGTTTATTCCAGTCCCCTGGCCAACAATTCTCCAAATAAAATTGATCATTATCTTCATGGCTGTTTGTGTGACATTGCTGTGTGCAAATTGGCTGATGAATTTGTCTACAAAATACATAATAATGTTTTGTTTACAATCCTGTTTATAAAAAAAATCCTAACAAAATGAAATTGAAGGAGAAATTAGACGGAATGGGGAATGATGAATCTGATAACATCTGGAATTTGTGTATAGGTGTGGGTGTGACAAATTCACTGATCACATTTTTTCTGATTAGCTACATGTCTAACACATGTGGAAATCCACCATTATACTTAATACTTCCCATACCCACAGCACCGTCTATGTGCTCATCTCGAAGTGGATGGGACATTGCTGGTGCAGACTGGCTGTCCTGTTTGGTGATCTATAGTCTCTTTACCATTCCTCTTGTGTTTAAGTTGTTCTGTCTTTGAAGGGCTTCTTTCTCCCTCCCCCCATACACCACCCCTGCACCCCACCCCCCTCCCCGGCTGACTTGTCAAAGAAATGTAGAAGCACACCTGGGGAGTACTGATCGTACCAATATAAATTATGAGATGATAATGATAACAATAAGTGTGGTATTTGATATAATGCCTTATCATGACTCTGAGACGTTCACAGAATATAGTGTAAAGTGAATTGACTGTATATTTTATGGGTGAAACACGGTAGCCAATTGCGCACAGCAGTGTGCCACAAACAGTCATGGAATGAGTGACAACTGGGTTCTTACTTACTGCTCGGTAAACAGAGGCATGTGGAATAAGGAAACTTGCCTAACGTTTCACCTTACCTGGAAATCGAACACAGGTCCTCTCGCTTGCAACACGAGTGCTCTAACCAATATGCTACAGGACTCCACTTGATGTCTGATGGGTCAGGACAGTAGTGGTCCTGGCGTCAAGGGCAAATGCAAACTACATCTCCCAGGCACAAAAATGGATAGGAAACTGGCCTCAGTAAATTGTACATAAGTAATTGCAAAAGCCTTCAACAAATTGCTGGAAAAAAGAAACCCCTCTGCCTCCTCATCTGGCTTCCAGTCAAACATTTGCACATTGTTGATCCTGTTCCCACATCTTTGTCATCTTTTATTTTCTGAATGAAAGTCACCACCCGCTCCTTGACCCTATAGCCACATCTATCTGGCCACCCAAACTCCCCTCCTCACATCTTTGCTCGCCATTCTCTCTGCTTCTCCATTGGTACAGCACCTTCCCCTCCTTTCAAAACCACTGTCATCACCCTCCTACTGAAGAAACCATCACTTGACCCTTCTATGCTCTCCAGCTACTGAACGATCTCTAACTTGCCCTTCCTATCCAAAGCCCTATTTTGTAGAAAAATGCGACAGTGCGTTTTGTCTGCTGTGGATTAGTTGCTGCATTTGTTTAGACAAGTAAAGTTACTTTTCTTCAAAGTAAATCATTGTGTGAAGCATTCCAACACAGAGTACCACATCAATTGTAATGCCTCTTTGTTATTTATTCCTTTTTGTTTCCTCTTTAGTTGCTCCCACTGATATCATAGAACTGTCTCCACACATCCCTGTGGCTAATAGGGGAGAAAGCACCATAGCCACTTGTCTAGCAAAAAATGCAAAACCAGCCACTTCCATAAATTGGGAAAGCCCTTTCTATTTTAGTTTTACTCAGAGTACCACACCTCCTGCTCCTGATGGGACTGTAAATGTCTCAAGCACACTCGTCTATCTCCAACTAGAGAGATGAATGGACAGTACGTTTACTGTGTGGTGGAACATCCAGCACTGAAGACTCCTGAACGATTGGGTTATCAGCTAAATATTCACTGTATGTATAACCATCTATTCCTATACTGTTTCAACAGTCCGGTTTAGTAAATACACAGTTTAGTAACACTTGTTGATGCCGTTTTAGTAAATACACATAATAGAAGTAATTGTTAATGCTGCTGTTTCTCCTTTCAACTTTCCTGGCAGTTTTCAGTTACATCATTAAGTCCTGGAGGAGTTTTAAGTTTCTGGGGCTCCCGTCGACATCTTCTCAACTCAGTCATTGACCTGCACATTGACCTCTCTCTCTCTCTCTCTCTCTCTCTCTCTCTCTCTCTCGCAGGCATACAACTCTCATTAGTTCTACTTTTTCCGCTTACCTCTTCAAATTGTTGCCCTTGAAATAAGTTTCCATTCTCGTTATTGTTTTTGGTACCTTCTCCAGATTGATTTGGACTGTTTTTACTTCATATCTGGTTAATATTAAACTGACCTCTTTATAACCCTATTGTGGTGGCAGAACAAAGGCATTTTGATTGAGCAACCCACAAACCTTTGGTATTTGATACATAGCTTATTTGTAAGGTTTAGTGACTGCATTTGTAGTCAAATACAGCAGTCAATTTGTATGCAGGAATGTCCCACACACAGCCATGAATTGAAGGATCATTTTTGTTATTTGGGAGATTATTGTCCAGGACACTGGGAGAAGGTCCCTTCTCTTGTTGAATATTGCCATGGAGTGTGGATTTTGAAGTAGATTTTAAAATGGTATTTTTTTCAGATGTGCCATCAGTTGCCATTACAATTGTGAAGACTGACCAAGATAATTTACAGCTGAAATGTAATGCAGATGCTAATCCTCCATCTATAGGATTCAGATGGACAAGGTGAGAAAATGTCTCTGTTATGAAGACTAGGTTTATTTTTGGTCATCTTGATATTTGTCACATATGGAAACCTATATGCTTAACAGTATCCAAATCAGAGTTCCAATCATGAATGCCACTTACAAATGGAAAGTTTTGAAATTGCCTTTACACTTTTAAGCACTGAATTCAAATTCCGTGCAGACTGAGAAAATTGAACTTTTGAAGGGCTCCAGTGACACTGACTGGTGTCCATTTTCAAGGGAAATTATAATAATAATAATCATTGCATTTGATATACTGCTTCATCATGTCTTCGAAACGTCTCAATGCGCTTCACAGAATATACTTGAAAGTCAATTGACTGTATACGGTAGAACCTCACTCATCCGGTCACTCAAGTGGCTGGGCAAAAGTGACCTACTTAGTGAGGTGACCTGATTACTGAAAGAGGCCGGGTGATTCAGGCCACTGATGTAATGATAAGGGCATTAGTAATGGGCAAGGGTGATGAACATTCAACAACCTTACTTCGCAATCTCATTAAAATAGGAGCATTGTCACATTTAAAACAGATCTTAGATTTCATCATTTAAAGTTCACACAAGAGGTTAAAACTATACAAAATGTTCATTTCTTGAAGAAAGAGTCCAGCATTGTTTGCCTGGCGGTTGATTTAACCTGCACTGTCTTGGCCAGCCGCTGACATTCAGCATGAGCCAAAGTCTGCCACGAGTCGAGTCCATTATCAAGGCAAAAGTCCTTCACTTGTCCCAACAAACCCAGTGCATCATTATAAGTGAGAGGGCTCTTTGATGTTGTTGGTTGCTCTTCCTGTTCCTTCTCCTTAGTGTCCTTGGTTCCGGGTAGAAAGTCCTCCACTGGACACGACTGCCATCCCTCATTCAAGTCCTCAGTGAAGGGCACATCACTGTCAATAGCTACATTCTCCTTGACACTAAGGATAGGGTTGCCCAGTGACAGGCACTGACTGGCCTGAGCCAACAACTGGGCAAGTGGCACATCATCATCAGGGTCCTCCACCATTGGCTCATCCACACTAAAGTCAGCCTTGGTAAAGCACTTCTGCACTCTTGATCTAAGCACCATGTTAACTGCTGAATCAATCCAGATGACTGCATGAAGAACATTGATCGATTGCATCCCACCATTGCAGCCATCACCACAAACTGAAAGCCTCTTGTCAGGGTGAGCCCTGAAAACAGCAACAGATTCATTCATGTTAAGTATGTCCTTGGTGACCCAATGTTGTGTCTGGACTTGAAATGGACAAGCCAGCCATTTGATGCCTTGAAACCAGTCTGGCTAAGTGATGCTGCAAAGCTGAGTGTTTTCTCCTGTATCATAGCGCCAGACACAGGCATGTTGAGACCATGGGCACGCTGGAACCACTCCCATGTAGGTTTATGAATGTCCTCAAACTGAAAGAACACATTTTCTATCAGTCTGTTGAATTTCTTCAAAAGCTGTGATGTATTCAGCCTTCCTTTTCAGAATGCATCCAACTTGTGTTCCACCAATGCCATAGATCACAGCAAACTGTCTATGACTTTTGACCCCACTATTTTTGATTAAGTCCACTCCCTCACGTGAGGACAACTCCAAGCTGTGGTGACATGTTTACATCACTTGCCAAGAATTGGCCGCAGGAGCTCAGGTTAGGTTGTGGGCACGGGTGAAGTCTAATTCCTGCTTGCGGCGCATCCGCGATCCCAACATTCCCCATGCATGTGTGACTGGAGCTCACTCTGCATTCAGTAGCAGCGTCAAGTAAACAGCACGTGCGGCCCGAGGCTAGTAGCAGAGGTGGGTGTTTGTATAACGTTTGTACAGGAGGAGGGTGCTGGTCGCGGCCACAATCAATGGTCGTTGTCCTGAACAGTGAGGTACTGGTTAACTGAAGCAGACAGTCTATCTTGTAAAATAGACCGTGAAAGCGACTGTTAAAATGTGCCCATAATTGCGAGGTGGCTGATTACCAAGGTACAGCAAATCGGGTATATACTGTATTTTGTGGGAGAAACGCAGCAACTAATTACGCACAGCAGTGTCCCACAAACAGGCCAGTGACCAATTTATGATTTTTTTTTGAAGGAATTATTACCCCCGGAAAAGTGATCCACCAATCGACTAACAACTGGGTTCCTACTTACTGCTCGGTAAACAGAGGCTTGTGGACTGAGGAAACTGCCAGGAATTGAAACTAGGTCTCTCATTTAGGAGACGAATGCTCTGACCACTGAGTTACAGGACTGCAATAGTTGGAAAACACAATTGGCCATAGTTCAGGAATATTTGGTGCACTTTACATGGTGCACATATGTCGATGTTGGGTGAATACAAAACTGAGTTTGGCTGTGATGTCCCCAATGGTTAAACACATTTCAATATTAGCCACTTGAGTGAGGTACCAGAGGGAGCCCTGTGGACACGATCCCACAGAGAAGGAAAATTAATCAACACCTTCCGGAAGATAACAAAAGCTATGTGGTAAAGGTGAACTAAACGGGATGTGCTTCTTTAAGATTTTAAACTATTTCTCTTTTTCATAGAATGAATGATACACACCAAATATTCAACAAAGTACAAGACGATAGCATACTGAAGGTGCCTATTTTGACTTCTGACAATAACAGGCTGTACATGTGTGAAACCAGCAACATAATTGGCTCTGCTAAAAGTTCAATATATCTGCATCAATGTAAGTATGTTTTAGTATAATTCATTCTGTACATTCAGATTCTTTTTTTAAAATTGAACATCTTTCAAATTTTAGATTTATAGATGTGAAATTAAAGTTCCAAATCATTCCTCCCCCATTCATAGCTGTAACCATGACCCAACTGTGCAGCGCCTTGGGACGTCCTCCTGACGTGAAAGGCGCTCTATAAATGGAATCTTGTTGTTGTTGTTGTTGTTGTAACAATTCATGAGGAAATTTTGTGGCATTTCAAAACCAGCACTGATGCTATTGCCCACTTCCCGGTCTGTGGTATCTTTTTCAGATTCAACCACCTGAGCAGTTTTCATTTTCATCACCCATATAATCCTAGAATTATACAATACAGAAGGAAGCCATTAAGCCCATCATGTCCGTGTCAGCTCTTTGAAAGCTGTCCAAATTAGTCCCACTCCCCCACTCTCTCCCCATAGCCTATAAATTTGTACTCCGCAAATATCTGTCTACTTCTCTCTTGAAAGTTGTTATCAAATTAGCTTCCACCACCCTTTCAGGCAATGCATTCCAGATCCAAACAACTATAGCATCTTCTCTAAGCTTTTTGTGTAATATTTGTTTTCATGGTTGATCTTCCAAGAAAGCCATGTTCTCCTGGCCACGTACTAACATTGTAGGGATCAATAGGCTTTGCCTGGCCGAGCAGAAAGCACAGTTCTCATTCCTCCTCTGCAGATCAACACTGAAAAATAAGTGATCCACAAAAACCTAACTTGGATTTAAAATTTACAAAACCATAACTTACTCCTCTCAAAATGAAAATAAATGGACACTGGAAAAGGAGTAGGAAGAAATCACTTAATTGGAAGTATGTGCTGCCACTTTATATTAGCCTTAGTTATGTTTCACTACAAACTAGACTGCATTGTTAGATTCTGATCACCAATCTCACAATGTACGAAAGAATGTTGTTGACTATAAAAGACAAAAAAGGTTCCTACTTTTTTTTGAAATTGAACAAGTATTCTTCACCAATTATTGCTTCTGCTTACATTCATCATTCCAATTCTGGCCATGAAGCACTGGGCTATAAATGCTATAAAAATGTAGTAACCATCAACTATATCAATATAGTCTTTGTCATTCTATAAGACACAAATAGAAAATAACTCACTTTACTGAAGTGTATTTCATGGAGTTTTTGGAATGTCTAGATTGGGATAGAGAGTCTGGGATAAATTGTGGTAACATGGGGGTTGAATAAATATTCTTTGCTTGGTTGCCTTAAAAATTCTTTTGAATCAGTTGCAATAGAAACATAATTTAGGAAACTTATCAACTATAGTGTTTTTGAAAGCAGACCTAAGAATTGAATGAAAAACATTTCAAATCTGATTTTCAGAATTGAATTGAAAGTAGCTGCTTAGAATGTGTGTGAATATATAGGGTTATAAAATTCACAAGCAAAGTCTATCAATTGACAAATCTTTTGAAATGTTTTTATTTCAGATGAACTCCAACAACGGCTACACATTATGTTTTACATTATAATTGTGCTCCTTGTTACTGTAATAGCTGCTCTCAGCTTTCTTCTTATCCGTAAGAAAATTTGCCTCAACAAGCAATGAAGTACGGTCGGATATGTACTTATGAATGCAACAATTTTACACATCGCATCTCTTAACAAAGTTGGAATTTTTCTGGTGAAAGCCTAATCAATGCAAATGTAATAACTCATCTGGCAAGAAACCAACAAAAGCGTTATACGTATTGAAAATATTAATAATATTTTATATAAATACAATATAAAGCAGGAAAAGAAACAAGGACATGAAAGGGACAGAGTATAAAATTAGGAATTTTGATTTTTATGGAGACTGATGAAGGTATATTCCTTTTTCTCCAACCCAATCAAAAACAGCCTATTTAATACAACATATGTCTCTGACTCCTGTCATATTGCACTTGCGTCTAAAGTCTGTCACTGCTCACTTTAGTTAACTGAGCCAGAGGGTAAACATGTTGTGCTTGGCTCCTATCTCTACTGGCTGTGTAATGGTTAAAATTTAATTTGAGTGTTCTTTTGCATTGTTCGCTTATTACAGACAGTATTTATTGGGAACCTCTTCCGGGCAAATCCAAAGTATCATTCCCTCTCCTGTCTCGTTATTTACATCGGGTTTTGAAATTTCAATTAAAATAATTATTATTATTCAATTAAAATACGCCTGATTCAAATAAAATGAAATCAGTGTTTAATCCAACGAGTCTACTTATTTATATTCTTCACACACCTTAATCTAAGAACATTTGAAAGTCTTTACAAATTGTAACATTCTTCTCTCTAAATTCTGCCAATCACTATTACTGTGTAGCAGCACAGCATAATCAGACTAGTGTTGTTGGGTATCTCTGCCACTAGAGGGTCACATCGTGGATCGTGAAATTACCAAAACCTCTTACTTCTTTCGCTTTGCTTTTAAATGAACTAATGGGCCTCCATATACAGCTCTTGTGATCTTATGCCTGACTGTGCAAGTGTTTGATGCTGTCATGGATATTGTGAAAATCAAGTGCCCCAAGAATTCACACTGCATCATTGCATGAAGTGTTTGTTGACATTGACATAACAAAATAATAATAATCCTTGCATTTGATATAGCGCTTTTCACGTCTTCTCGACGTCTCAAAGCGCTTCACAGAATATGCTGTAAAGTGAATTGACTGAATTTGTGGGCGAAACGCGGCAGCCAATTGGTCCCAGCAGAGTCCCACAAACAGCCATGGATTGAAAATGACCAATTTATTATTGTTTTGTTTTGGAGGATTATTATCAGGCGTGTGGAGTAAGGAAACTTGACCAAGGTTTCGCCCTGACCTGCCTGGAATTGAACCCAGGTGTCTCGCTTGCAAGGCGAGCGCTCTAACCACTGAGCTACAGGACTCCAAAGTCCCGCCGAGATCCATACTGTTACTTGCATTTGGCATAAAAGGACATTAAGCTTTGTGACTCAGTTTATATTATTTATGAACCAGTTTAGAAGGTGATCTATTCCATATTGAAATCCTCCTACTTTTCAAAATAAAAACATCCTTGTTTTCGCTCTCTGAACAATTTGCATTCATATCGCACACCCCCAAACATATGCTCCTGACACTGCCTGGTTCAAGACCTTTCCGATGAAATATAAACCATGTCTCTACATCAATCGGTTATTACGTGATTGTTAGATACACAGACAGACAGACAGACAGACAGACAGACATTGTTTTATTAGTTTATAAGATAAAATGTCTGTCTGTTTGTCTGTGTGGCAATCTATATTCCATATTGGCTCCTTTGATTTCAAGCGTAGCTGCAACAGGTCCAGCTACTATATTATAAAATGTAGAGACTGTGTGTTTTGGAGGAAAGACAGAGACAGCGCCAGTCAGCCAGCACGGCTACCAGCTATAAACGCAATGCATGCGTACATACGTACTCTGTAATGCACGATGCCACAGCGCTACTTTGACTCGGTGGCCAGGAACAATGAAGATACCCAAAAACAAATATACCCATTTCACTCCAAGTTTCAAGACCCTTCCGATGAGGTATAATTCATGTCACTACGTCAATCGGTTAGTGAGATCCTTCTTGAAGCACAGACAGACATTGCTGTTTTATTTGTATGCATAATAATAATCCTTGCATTTGATATAGCGCTTTTCATGTGGTCAAGATGTCTCAAAGTGCTTCACAGAATATACTGTAAAGTGAATTGACTGTATATTAGTGGGCAAAACACAGCAGCCAATTGTGAACAGCAGTGTCCCACAAACAGGTGTGGATTGAAGTGACCGATATTAATATTGTTTTTTTCTTGAGGGATTATTATCAGGCGTGTGGAGTAAGGAAACTTGCCCACGGTTTCGCATTGCCAGGAATCAAACTCAGGTCTCTCGCTTGTGAGGCGAGTGTTCTAACCACTGAGCTACAGGTCTCCTGTATATATAGAAGATATATACATATCATTTACACATTACAAAAGACTGCAAGAATAGGGTAACCGTGATAATGCCCCAGACAGAGTGACCAATGCTGGAATCAGCAACTTTATTGGCTGTTCACGATTTGCAGCTTATCTCCCACCTAATTATTCTTCTCAGGCTTTGTCAGAACAATTATTCATTCCCCAGTGCTCTCTTCTTCAATTCTGCTAATTGTCTCCAAACTACTTTTTCAATTTAGTGGTTTTAATCTTCTAGAAAAGAAAACTCCCCAAAAGAGTGCAATTTAGATAGGAGCTGCATATGAAATGGTCTACAGAAGTGGTTATAAAAAGCAGCAGGAAGTATAAAGCACACCGGATGCTGTGATGGGGGAGGGTTTCTGGAGGATGAGATCAGATGGTCGAAAGGCCTTCTTCATTCAAATCGATCTTGTGATGCCTGGACTGAGCTGATAAAATACTCAGCACTGTAACTAAAAGCAGAAGCACTGGGGATTTGTCAGGGGCCGGGCCTGCAAGATACTACACTGTATACATTGGAGATAATTTTTTATGTTCAGCTAATGCATTACTGAGAAGACATCAGCAAGGTCTTCAGTCACACAAGGCTGAATATTCTCTATCCCAAGCGTACAACTGCTCATGCCACAGATATTAGCAGGGCAGCAAATAAATGGGAGTTCAGTAAGTTGTACATGTTTTTCTTACTTTTTAAGTAAGGGCCCTTGCAGGGACCGGCCCAATGGTGGGGTGACTGGCAGGGGGGCGGGGCGGGGCGGGGCGGGTGACTTGCAGGGAGGGCGGGGCGGGTGACTGGCAGGGAGGGCGGGGCGGGGCGGGGCGGATTGCCTGGTGCCCCCCTCCCGCCTCCTGCACTCGTTGCAACGCTTTGAGTGGTAGAGACGCTGTTGTGATCCTCTCCGCAGCGAGAACCGCAATAAGTAACACAGAGAGAGCAGAGCCACAGCCGGACAGCGGGGGGGGGACCCCCGGACACTGGGGGGGGACCCCCGGACACTGGGGGGGGACCCCCGGACACTGGGGTGTGTGTGTGTGGAGGCGCTGCTCCGGAGGCGGATTTCCTGCAAACAGCTGAAGGATAATTGAAGCTGTTTGTGCCTTCACCATCACTATTACCATCACCACAGCGCCCCCCCCCCCCCAGCCCCTAACCCCCCCCAGCCCCCTGCCCCCCCAGCCCCCTGCCCCCCCCCAGCCCCTGCCCCCCCAGCCCCTGCCCCCCCCCAGCCCTGCCCCCCCAGCCCCTGCCCCCCCCCAGCCCCTGCCCCCCCCAGCCCCTGCCCCCCCCAGCCCCCTGCCCCCCCCAGCCCCCTGCCCCCCCCCAGCCCCTGCCCCAGCCCCTGCCCCCCCCAGCCCCCTGCCCCCCCCCCAGCCCCCTGCCCCCGCAGCCCCCTGCCCCAGCCCCCTGCCCCCCCAGCCCCCTGCCCCCCCCCAGCCCCCTGCCCCCCCCAGCCCCTGCCCCCCCCCCCAGCCCCTGCCCCCCGCAGCCCCCAGCCCCCTGCCCCCCAGCCCCTGCCCCCCCCCCAGCCCCCTGCCCCCCCCAGCCCCCTGCCCCCCCCCAGCCCCCTGCCCCCCCCGCAGCCCCTGCCCCAGCCCCCTGCCCCCCCCCAGCCCCCTGCCCCCCAGCCCCCTTCCCCCCAGCCCCCTGCCCCCCCCCCCCCAGCCCCCTGCCCCCCCAGCCCCCTGCCCCCCGCCCCCCAGCCCCCTGCCCCCCCCAGCCCCCTGCCCCCCCCCCAGCCCCCTGCCCCCCCCCAGCCCCCTGCCCCCCCCCCAGCCCCCTGCCCCCCCAGCCCCCTGTCCCTCAAGCCTGCCCTGCCATTTAATAAGACCATGGCTGATCTTCTAACCTAATTCCAGTTACCCGCCCTATCCCCATATCCCTTAATCCCTTTAGTTTTTAAAAATCAATCTCAGTCTTGAATATGTTCAATGACATCCTGATGGAAGAGCTCCCTCTTTCACCAATACTGGTGCCAGTGGTCCACAAAATAAGGCATTATACAAATGCAAGTTCTTCCTTTTCTCCAGCCAGATCTTGTTGCATGTGGAGTCCCAGTACACAGCAAGTACACTTAGCTAAAACCTGCTTCTTTTAATCACAGGCTCCACATGTGGTTCCAATGCGAGTTGGGGTCAAAGTAGGAGACATGTCCCTTCAGGATACCATTCTGTGTGATGGCCTAATGGACGCCTTTTATAACTACCACATGGGTGTAACAGGTAAGAACTGTCACTGAATAAATACAAGGTTTGCATTTAAGTACTGGAAATTAATTGCATTTCCCTCTGTTTTCTAACCTCTCTGAGGATCTGTGGCGTTTAGTTCTAAGGCTACCAGCTGCCCTCCAGTATCTCATTAAAGTGGCCGTACTTCATGTGTGAATCCGAGTGGTAAAGGGTCACTGGGCTGTTTGACCATGAGAGGAGATGGAATATCACAGACAAGTCTCTTCCTGTCCACACACAAGCACCTTCCAGCCAGGACCATTGAATGTGATAAGAAGTGGGAACACTGGCTGTATTTTTCCTCCTACTTATACAAACTAATTGTAACATCCCATCTGCTGCCAAGCTGAGACCAGGTAACCTGGCACAAATCTGGGTCTTCCAAGTCTCAGTTCAACGCCAGGCAGTGCCTTTGTCAACCAAGTGCTCAAAGAGAGCAGCTTGGGAATGGAGCAATCTATATGCAGGGTTTGATAAATTTATAAGATAGTATTGTTCTGATTAAAAATGGGGGGCGTTATTTGAATAGAAAATGTTCTTTTTGTTTCTATTTAATCATGTATTGTAACTATTTCTTAAAATTAGATACTGAAATAATGGGCACAATGTGTTTGAGCTCAGATTGCAATCCAAAGTGCCTGTTCCCAGCCTCCAAGACACAGTCGTGTATTAACTACCTCAGCTGTGGAGGTGCTCATCGATGATTGGAAAAATGTGAACAAATTTACTGGAACAAACCTGAATCCTTTCTGAAGTTCAAAATATGGAGGAGGTTAATTCTGTTCTGAACTGTAAAGGGAACATGACTGTTGACTAAAGATGCTCCTACAAAATACACAGTCACTACACACTTCATAGTTGTGAAGCACTTTAAACATCCTCGCGAATAGAAACATACTATTCTTGGTGGAGACCCAGGCATCCTACATGGCTCAGCCAACTTAAGACCAAAAGATTCTGTGGTTGAATTCCTTGGAAGCTCAAGCTTTTAACCTTTTTAGAGCTTTAACGAAATATCTTTAAAATTATCCTCTGTGGTGACAGATAAGCAAAGTCACCCGAGGGCAGTACTTTTACACTGTGATGACTGGCCTAAAACCACCTTGGAGGGTGTGAATGTGTGAACCAAAGCTGTGCAAGCTCATAGAACGGACGTAGATGTAAAGTAGCATGTTACTTGATAGCCATCATTATGTATAGCTACGGTCTCTTGGCCATGCACATATTTATATAAAGGTTTGAAGCTACAGAACGTTTCCCGAATTACTTTTCTCGTCCTCTCGATGCAGCTGAGAACGTGGCGATGCAGTGGCATGTGAGTCGAGAGGAGCAGGACAAGTTTGCTGTACAGTCCCAGAACCGAACTGAGGCAGCACAGAAAGCTGGCTATTTTGAAAAAGAAATTGTTCCTGTCTCCGTCCCTTCCAGGAGAGGTATGTGCTGTACTCCTAGGAGGAGAGATTTTGAGACTGACTGGTTCATCTGCACGAGCGCGTGTGAGTGCGTGTAGGAGAAGGTTTCAGAAAGTTGCATATTCTAAGCTTTTTCAAGCCTCAAAAACAAATGTCATAGAGGGGACCTCTATAGAGGTATATAAGATGCTGAATGAGATTGAGAAAGTAAACCTACAATAATATATTCAGATATACCAAGCCAGCAGAAAACAAGGTACAGGTTCAGAGTTGTAAAGGACATTATTTAGGACACACAACAAGAAGTGTTTCTTTACACGTTGCTGCAACTGCAGTAGATTACCAGGAGGGATGGCAGAAGCTAGGTTGCTGGACACTTTTTAAAAAAAAACTATGCGGTAATGAGAGATGATAGCATGGATATTCTGGAAGGCTCAGATTGAATAGGCCGAAAGGTTTTATTTATCCAAACCTCTTTTGTGATCTTATGTCATCCAGTCTGCCCTAAACCCTATGGGCTTGCAAGAGGTCTTCCAAACTATTTGGCACTCAACCAGACAGAGGCCAACATTATTCACTTCGACTAACATATGTGCCACACTTGTTTTTAAATGTATAACACTTATAATGAAATTAAAATTTTATTTGGTACTATTGTGTAGCCTCGAATTGCTACATTTTAATTAGGAGCCTTAATAATCTAACATCATCCTCTCTCTCTCTCTCTCTTCAGGGCCTATCGAGGTGTCAACCGATGAGTTTCCCCGTCACGGAAGCACCTTCGAAGCCATGTCTAAACTAAAGCCGGCTTTTGCAAAGGGCGTATCTGGCACTGTCACTGCTGCTAATGCTTCAGGTCAGCAGAAAGAATCACTTTTGTAATTTGCTTATAAAGTCGTTGAAAAGAAGGCAGTAACTTTACTGACAACACACTCTGTTTGCTGTTCTGCAGGAATAAATGACGGGGCCGCAGCTGTGATTCTGATGAAGAAATCAGAAGCTGACAAGAAATGCCTGAAACCTTTGGCTCAGATTGTATCCTGGGCCGAGGCTGGTTTGGATCCTGCCATTATGGGAGTCGGGCCTATAGCAGCAATAAGGAAGGCCGTAAGTAATACAAGAATATTGTTAATACTTATACCTCTTCACAGCATAGAGCCTTAACCAGACTCAGACATGTTCATTTATTAGCACAACTCTACTTTTATATGGTGTTTCCTGTTTTGGGAATGGGCTATCCTGCAAGTGAGAGAATTGGCAGCTATTCTGCCCCCAGGACTCTGCTATTGTTTTTTAAGCACCTGCAGGAGACGAGACTGGGGTCATGGCTCAACTCCAGGTATCTCCCTTTCCCATTTGGAAAAGGTCTGCTCGGTCACTCCTCACATGGCTGATATCATTGACTGAGGAGCGGTCAAATTGTGTCCCCCTGAAGTAGGGTCAAGTAGATTGTTTTCTTTTCAACCAATGATTCACCCACTGTGCATTCCATCATCTTCAGATTCAAGGGTAATGACTTAGATTTACTATTTATTCTAGGTAGAAAAAGCCGGCTGGACGCTGGATGAAGTTGATCTCTTCGAAATCAATGAAGCTTTTGCATCACAGTCTGTAGCTGTTGTCAAGGAACTGGGTATAAACCCAGAGAAGGTGAGAAATGTAGATATAAAAATTGGCACTACAACTAAATGCAATTGATCCTTTTTACTTCCTGATTCACCCAATGGGTCAATGTGGGATGTAATAAAACAACAAATTGCATTTATAAAGCGCCTTTCATGTCGGGAGGATGTCCCAAGCCACTGCAGTCGAGGTTTGCATCCAAGCTGGGGTTGGATTCGGGAGGGATGGGGGCCAGGAAGATGACCGGTCAGAGGAAGGTTTTGAGGACCTTGAAGGAGGTAAGGGAGAGTTGAGGTGATAGGGCTCTCGTTGGAGTTCCACAAAGTGAGAGCAGATAGGCTGAAAGCCTGACTGCTGATGGTAGGATAGGCAGGGGACCTGAAGCAGGCCAGTGGAGTAAGGAGAAAATTAGGGAAAAGGTTTTCCCTCTTTTTTTAAAAAAATGCATTTTTTGTGTTTGTCTTTCTAGGTAAACATCCAAGGTGGTGCTATTGCTTTAGGTCACCCTCTGGGAATGTCTGGGTGCCGCATTCTGGTTACACTTCTCTACGCACTGGAGAGAACAGGAAAAAAGCGTGGCATTGCTTCTTTGTGTATAGGAGGTGGAATGGGAATAGCTATGTGTGTTGAAAGGCAATAAATTACACCTAAATTTTACTACAACAGTATATTCTGTGAAGCGCTTTGGGACATCTAGAAGATGTGAAAAGCGCTATATCAAATGCAAGGATTATTATTATTATTATATCACCTTATTATGTCGTTGAGACATCTCAAAATACTTCACAGATTATACTGTAAAGTGGAGTGACTTTTGTGGGTGTAACGGGCAGCCAATTGTGCACAGCAGTATCCCACAAAAGCCATGGATTAAGTGACTTTTTTTTATTTATTAATTTTTGGGGGAGGGATTATTATTATTATTATTAATGACAACAACCAAAAAGGTAATGAGTGTGGCCTATGAAATGCTTGTTGGGTTTCCTCCTGCTCTTCGTCATCTTGTTTGAAGTCCTCGCATTTGTCACCCATGGTGTCCTGATATTGCTGGCACTCCAACACCAGGTCATTAATATGGCTCTACACCTCAGAGAACTCCTAATCAAGAAATGTCAGGAGTGAGAATTCCAATAGATGGAGCCCAGCAGATCAAAACAGATAGATCATTCTTTATAACCAAGAAGTGTCAGTCGAGCTCATTTGGAAATTTTCTTGTTATTATCTATTGAAAATATTATGCTCATAATCTCGGCTGACTCTTCAATGTAAAATTAAATCCAAGTGCAAATTGGGGGAAAAGAGATAATATATAATAATAATCTTTGCATTTGTTGCAGCACTTTTCATGTCTTCTAGACGTCTCAAAGCGCTTCAGAGAATATCCTGTAAAGTGAACTGTCCATATATTTGTGGGCGAAACATAGCAGCAAATTGCACACAGCAGTGTCTCACAAACAGACGTTGATTGAGTGACCAAATTAATATTGGTTTTTTTGAGGGATTATTATCTCCAGAAATGCAATCTGTCAATCAACTAACAACCAAGTTCCTACTTACTGATAGTTAAACAGAGGCGTGTGGGGTCAGGAAACATTTTGCCCTACCGGGTCTCTCGCTTGCAGTTAGACAGTTCTCTAACCACTGAGCTACAGGACTCCACAGATTGATGAATATAGTATTACCATATGTTACCTAATCTGAATGTATGTATGGAAGGGCAGATTTATTGATACAAAGAAACCCAGCTAAACTCTGCATATATAACAAATTGCAGACTATCAGCTTCCAACTAAGAGAAATTGAAAGAATGTTCAAAAGTGGTTAAGACAGTGACAAGGTAACTTAATGTGTCCTGCCAAATGTTCTTTCTTAAGTCAAATTCATTCCTGTGATAATTTTAATAAATTGTCTTAGTCACTATAATCCTATATCACTCTTGCAAACTTGTCAGAAGGTTGTTGGTTTATGCCACCAATCGTGACCTTGAATTGGTAATCTAGGCTTCAATGCAGTTCTGCTCCTCAGCCATGAAAAGTGATTTCTCAGAGGAACATCATATTTTAAATATAATTGAGAAAGTAACCCAAGGGCCTTGAAGGCGAGGCCAAAGATTTTGAATTCT